AGAGACTTATGGCCTCCCCCACCTTTCTCTCTTTAAATCAAGTACCAGGCCCTGGATCACTTGGTATGCCAGGATCAACCCCCAATTTACAAAGAGTTGCCAGGTATGATGGCACCGAACAGAGGCAGGTGGATCTCTATGAGTTAGATATCAGCCTGGTCTCTATGGTGAGTTCCAAACCAGCCAAGGCAACATAATTAGATGCTGTCTGACTCCAAACAAACAACAAAAGTCAAAGTACAAACTGGAAGGGACTTTAAATGGGACTGAAGTCACAAGTGTTCTGAAGGAAGAAGTGACACCCCAAAGTCTGTATAAACCTGACTGGCAAAAATGGGGAGATTTTGAAAAGATACTTTTAATTGTCTATCCTGAAAATCTTAAGATTATATAAATAACAGAATTATTTCCTAAGGTAGTTCCACTAAAAAAAAACCAAACACACACAGCTATATAATCTACCTAGAGCTCAGGGGAAATACAAGCATATTTATTGTCTTTCCACTGTCCTTGGAAAGACATAGCCTTTAAGACAAATTATTGAACACAACTGTAGAGCTGTACACGGTATTTTATTCCTCTTATTGTTCTATGTTTATAAGCTTTTATTGAGGCTGTATATGGGACTGCTAAGCTTCCACACAATATCTGTTAGATTTTAGAAGAGATAGGCTTGTCTGCTTTCTTTTGAATCCTTTAGCATCTTATTATTCATAGAGTAACAGACACTCAATAAATGACATTGCCTAATTACTCAGCCCTGATGTCAACTGTAAAGAATAGTACAAATTGAGAAATCCTTTCCATGAGCCCAGAGTCAAGGAGAAGTAAATGCTTTTTTGCATATCTTATGCTTCAGTTCCTTCCTTTCTGGGTCAGGACAATGGATTGCTGTTGTGAATTTTTGTGTCCTTCCTTTATTTCTATCTATACTCTGTGTTAGCTCTGCTCTACACCAATGCAAATTCAAGTCCGGTTTGCCTTCCATTCCTCTTGTGAGAGTTTCAGCACTGCATTTGGAGACCTCATCAACCCCCGGTTTAGCCCGATTTTAATCCTTCCTCTTAGAATGGCAAGCTATAGAAACCTAATTAAGTATATAAAAGGCTACAAAGCAAAATAAGAGGCCTGTGAAGGTGGGGGGGGGGATCAATCCTATTCATGGACATCTCTGGTGACAGTTATAGAAGTGACCTTGTTGTCTTCTCAGCGTGCTGCAACACTGAGTCTGGAGAGATTGAATGTCTTTGTCCCCATGGTCCTGCAGCTGGCTGTGGCAATACTGTGGAATGACAAATGTTTCTGTGTTTTCAAAGAGCTGTATAAGTCATAAATCTGAAATAACAAATTGATTTTATGTAGCATGGTTATGCTATGCATGCACATACCCTGTCCCATATATACATACATGTATATGTATGTATGTGTACATACACACACATATAATCTTACAGCTTGATGTACTATGGCAGATCATTTCAACCTAAGGTGATCGGCACTGGAGCCCATCAACAATATGGTTGTTTCCCTTCATTGTCCTGAACACTGAAGAAAGCACCCATGATGTTCTACTCAGGATATTTGATCACATTAGTATCTTCTTTTCTAACCTGAACTCATAGAAGAGACGAGAACTCATCAAGAGATGAGAAAACCATGTTGGGAAAGATGCAGCAACTTATGACATATCAGCAGCTAAGAAATTAAGATCTGATCTTTCCTTGGGGGGAAAAGGATAAGAAAAGCTAATAGATAGGTTGGTAGGTGGGTGGGTGGGTGGGTGCATGGCTGGCTGGCTGGATGCATAGATGGATAGACAGATAACACTTATGGGGATTATGTGATACTATACATTGTATAAATGATAGTCTTATGTAGCCAACAGGCCTCAAACTTATGTAACCAGGCATAGCTTTGAACTTCTAAACCTCCGACCTGCGCCTTTTGAGTGCTGGGATTTCGGGTGTGTATCACCATGCCTGGTTTTGATGATTTTTGACAGGGTAACACTTTATCTGTAGTAAAGCTATATGCTGGTTTTACGCCATTAATAGCACTCGTTTCCATTCAGATTCAAAGCCGAAACAATAACTATAACGTGTTTTTGTTTTGTATGAGGCGTTTATTCCAAAGCTCTTGAAATTTTAAAGCATATTTGGAAATTGTCAGGAATGAAGTGTTTAGGAGAGTGCTGTGATGATATATTGTGCACCTTAATAAAATTTGCCTGAGGATCAGAGGACAGAACAAGCCATGAGATTAAACCTAGAGACCAGGCAGTGGTGGCACAGGCCTTTAATCCTAGCATTCAGGAGGTAGAGATCCATCTGGATCTCTGTGAGTTCAAAGCCACCCAGGACTACATGACATGAGATTGACTCAGTCTAGGAGAGAAACAGAGCCAGGCAGTGGTGACACACACCTTTAATCCCCGTATGTGGAAAGTCACATGCCCTCAATCCCAGCAATAGAAAGTAAGTAATATGGTGGGCGGAGAAAGGTATATAAGGCGTGAGGAGATTGGAACTAAAGCCTTTTTGGCAAAGGAAGCTCATTCAGCTAGAGGCCTATCGGCTGAGTTCTTTCAGGCTGAGGAGCTGGTGAGGTAAGAGGTGGTAGCTGTGACTTAACTCTGCTTCTTTGATCTTTCAGCTTTCACCCCCGATGATATCAGGCTCCGGGTGTTTTATTAAAAGAACTTTTAACATTCGAGTTACAAAGTGCTGTGCATTTTGATGGAGGGTGGGCATCAAAACAAGTAAAACTGGGATACAGCCTCAAGGGGATTTGTGGATTTCATACACCTATTCTTTCCAAAGCTCATTGGTTTCTATTTTCTGTGATATGAACACAATTGGCTTTCAATATAGGCTTAACATTTATAAACACGTAGCTACATGTCATTCATCAGGCACTGTGCTATGTGCAAAGACACAGGCCATGCTTCTAGCATCCTGCCATGAACCCTGTGAAAAATTGTCATCCTGAATTTTCGGATAAGTAAAGGTGGTCTCAACAGAAGCCACCCATTCAAGCATGTGTGACCAATCAGTTGGCATCATAAGCAAGAGAAGTCGGGTTACCTGACCTCAAGTCTGTTGCACCTTCTAATAAAGCTAATCTATGCAAGAAAAACCTTGAGAACATTACCTTATGCACATTTTCCGATCACTGGAAGATCTAGTCTGGTACTTGAAAGAGAGCTATTCTGTTACAGACTCATTAGAGTAAAGTGATGAAATGTACAGGTTCTTGCCCTCAGGCTTTGGAGCCAGGCCAGTATGGGTAGGCAAGCTGGATCCTTGGCTGTAATGTCATGACTCTGAGTCAAGCTTTATTTTGGTTTTAAGTTCTGAACGTCGGTTGCCTCATCTACCAAGCCAATATGGTTTGAAGATAAATTATAAAGCGTTCTGGAAAAATTAGAGCACCATACAGAAGGGAAACAGTTAGCCAGAATCCCCAGGAGATAGTTTAGATTCTTGGTGGCTGTTAGTAGTAATATGGGTGAGAATGGGCAATGAAATAGGAGATAGCTAAATGAAGGTTCTCTTTATTGTGTTCAGGGACATGTATAGACGCTGTTTTGAGTCAGGTTGATCTTATTGAAGACCTTCTGTGATAACTAGACCTTGAACAGTATCAACAGTTTTATGTGATATTTTGCAAGAGCATGTTTAGATTCATTTATTTTGTGGGTGTATTGTGTATATGTATGTGCATCATGTTCATATCTAGTGCCCAAGAGGGTCGGAAGAGGGCATTGGATCCCCTAGAGCTGGAGTTGTGCATACTTGTGATCCACTATGTTATCACTGGGAGCCAAGCCTGGGTTCTCTGCAAAAATAATAAGTGCTCTTAACTGATAAGCTTCTCTCTAGCCCTGTATGTGATGTTTTTAATGGTCCTAAAAAAATACAGAACAAGATGAGAACATTTTCGTATTATTTCCATATTTTGGTTACTGTTACTGTAAAATAGTGGCATGAATAAGCATGAATTGAGCAGTCCTGAACTCTTTAAAATCTCTATATATAAAAATAATTATAGTCCTGGCTTGGTAGCACAGGACTATAATTCTAACAGTTTTGGAGGCTGAGTCAAGAAGATTGTGAGCTCAGACTGGGCTACATGGTGAGCTCAAGTTCAGTCTGGGCAATTTAATGAGATCCTGTCTCAAATAATCTAAGAGGCCTAAGGAAATGGATCAGTGAAGGAGTGCTTGTCTGGTGTGTAAGAGGCCTTGTGTTCAGTTTTCAGTCCTTAAAATAGTAATTATTACACACAGTCTTTGAGTCATAAAACTTTTTTATTAAACTAATTTATGGGACAGCTGGTTATATTTAAAAATATTTTTGGTCTCTAATTTGTGAATAGATAGACTCTATCTCCAGTTAACATATGTGTACACAAATACATATTTTTATTAATGACTGACTATAATATCCCAAAGGTTTTCAGTCTCCTGGCATAACTGTAAGATTTCTTTTTCTTTCCTGTATTTATTTCAAAATACTCTTTCTTATTTCTTGGTCAAAAAGCACTGAATTATTTAAAGTGATAACCTGGAATATTTGTCTATGTAAACAAAATAGGAAGGACCTTGCACAAAAATATGAATTCAAAGTTTCTAGATCTAATATTTTATGAAAATGAAATAGATAAATTTGGTAATGATTCATCATTTTAGGATAAACTAAATTTCTGTTTTTGGGGACTGACTTTTTGAAGATGATCAATATATCAATAATCCTATCAATAAATAGAATTGAGTAGGTTCCAAGAAGGAAAATTTGTATTTTTAAGCATAAAGAAATAATGCATGTGTTCTGTTCATGTCTGTCCTAATTTATACAGCTATCACTCTCTTAATTAATCATCAGCCTTTTAGACTAAGCACTGAATTTTAATTCTGTAACCTTCAAATCCAAAGACTATGATCTATCTTGTAACAAAAACATCCCAGTTCAAATTGTAATCTCATTTTTATCTCTGCTCAGATGATGAACCATGCTTGGAATAATTATAAACGCTATGCCTGGGGCTTAAACGAACTGAAACCTATATCAAAAGAAGGCCATTCAAGCAGCTTATTTGGTGAGTATGATGTGCTTTGATTTGAGGGTTTTTTTGTTTTTGTTTTTTGAGACAAGTTCTCACTCCCTTAGCCCTGGCTGGCTTGGAGTTGAGCACAGAGCCCTAGCTGTCCTTGAATTTACAGCAATGCTCCTGAGTTAGCCTTCTGTCAGAGTTACTTTTCTGTTGCTGTGAAGAGATACCATGACCAAGCCAATTTATAGAAGAAAGGATTTAATGGGGCTTGCAGCTTCAGAAGGTGGTTCGTGATCATCATGGTGGGGATCACGGCAGCGGGAGGCAGACATGGCGCCGGAGCAGTAGCTGAGAGCTTATATTCTTACATACAAGCAGAAGACAGAGAAAGACTAACTAGTAATGGCATGGGTTTGGAAACCTCAAAGCCCACCCCCAGGGACAGGCACACCTCATAATCCTTCCCACACAGTTCTACCAACAAAGTTCCATGTATTAAAATATGTGAGTCAGGGCGGGGGCGGGGTGGGGGGGGCCGGGGGGGGCGGGGTTGTCATTCAAACGACCACATCTTCCTAGAAGTTATAATTGTGAACCGACATTCCTGGCTTTTTATTGATAGTCTTTTCTCCGAGTTCCCTGAACTTACTGATGGTCAAAAAGCTCAGTGGGGTTCTGTGATTCTCCAGGCCCTCTGTGTTGCTAGGAAACTTGAACCCCTGCTGGAACTGTGGAAAGATTGCACATAATGTATCTTTTAGAGAGAACATCAGCTTTGTGTCAGAGGGACCTGTGTAACTGTAAAACATATTGATGCCCAGGGCTGACTTCCAGGCATGGCGTACACAGCAGGGTTTTAAGTTCTGGGGTGATTCCTGTAGAAGAGTATTTAGTTACCTGCATTAAGGGCTTCCTGATGCATGAAGCCTCTGTCTTTGTACAGGAGCTTGCCGTGGCAATGGCCCATGATGCTCCCTTCTGTCACTCGGTTTTGGCTGTAGCTTTCTGCTGTTTGTTCTGTGAAGACAAGGCCAGCAGGTTAGGCCAGCTCTTTGAACTCCCAGCTATCTGCTTTTTTTTTTGCTGCCCTTACACTTGGTCCTCACAGAACATTCTGATTGGTACTGTTTGTATTAATAATGCTCTTATTGTGGGAAGAAGGAAACCACTAGAAACGTTTGATGGATTCCTTTGAACAAAGACCTCCTCAGGGCCCACCTCCTGGGCTTGATTTCTTTCCAGCTCTCAAAACTTTTAACTGTAAGTAATGGGGTAAAGGAAAAAAAAAAAAAAAAAGAACTCTGTGACTGCTGAACTACCTCCCAGCATGACTTTCCATATTTTACCAGAATACCTTAAATGGTACCAGTTCATATAACGAGTAGCAATTTCTGGTGACACTTATGGAGCCATTATTGTATAGTGCCACTCTGCCACATATCATTTGATCTCATTTCTCTGTACATTTTTTGGTGAGGGAAAAAAAAAATAAAGCACAGAGAAGAACTTTCTCAAAGATAACCACCTATGCAGTAACAAGCAGAACAGGAACTCCAGTGGGACCAACTCCATGTTCCTAATCCTGGTACCCTGCTTTTCTGTTTCTTAAGGGTTTTATACATGTAGTTCTGCTTCTGTCACTGGTGTTGAAGGAGACACTCCAAGTCGTTGCAAGAGTTGATGGTCTAGTGCAGCTGACATGCATGTAAACAGTGAGTCGTCAAAGCATGAGGTGGTTCAGTAGACACACCACGGAGTTCCAGGAGCCTTTGGGATCTCATGTAGAGGGGGCGGGGTATTGCAGGGAAGAGTGGACAAAGACTCTGCTCTGTCATGATAATGATTCAGTTCAGAGACAGGAACTTATGCTGGGAGTGCCTGCCACAGAAATGGTTTCAGATGGAGCTAGTCTCAGGACGGTGACCAGGTCCCATGAAAGGGGAGAAGTTCCAGTTTAAGAGAGAAACTGAAATTTCATGGTAAAGTCAGAGGGCCTTCCCTTTTCAGTGTTTGCTATTGTAACTTTTTATTGTATTTTTTTAACCTGACTCTGAGCTGGGTAAGGGGCTCAGCAGTTGAGTGCACTGACTGGCTGCTCTTGGAAAGGGCCTGAGTTTGATCTCCAGCACCCACATGACAGCTCACAGCTCTAGTTCCAGAAGATCTGAGGTGCCCCTTCTGGCCCCCACAGCCACTGCACATATATGGTTCACAAACACACATGAAGGCAAAAACACTATATACATACAATAAATAATAAATAAAATTTTAAAAGTTAATTACCCTATTTTTACTCTCCTCTTAGTGAAACTTGATCAGAGAACTCAGTTATGTGTTAACTTGCCATAATCGTCATTAAACAGATCACTTGGTTTTCAGTTAGTAGACCGATGGTCTTGACAATAAACTTTAAAACATTCCAAGTCTTTTTGTTTTTACAGTTTTCACTGGATTTATCAGTAAAAACCAGATAAGTACTTACTCTTTACAAAAGGCCTCAAATATTCATATGGCAAAATGAACTGTTAATCAAATGGTATCTGTTTCCATTTTCAAATTAGAATAGGCTATGGAAGATTTTCTTGTATAATAAAATCAACACCCGGGACTTACTGCAATAATTGAAAGTCCTTAATTTTGAAAGTAAGGAAAACTTTTAATTGCCTTCCTTAGATGTATCTGAGCCAAATTCTTTGTCTGCAAGTAGTATAGCAACCTGTGTGTTCTTTCAGCAAACCCTTGAAGAAAGGAATATGTCTTTCCCATCCCCCCCCCCAGTTTTTCGGGATGGTTATTCATTTGCAGTGGCTTTTTCAGAATGTGGTCCCTCAGAGCAGCCTGGTTTTCAGGAGACATCTGCTCTGTGAACCTCGTTTTTGCCAGTCCCTAGCATCAGCCCTTCAACACTGATCCTTCTTTCTGTGGCTATTTCTTTCCATTTACTTCAAACTCACCTGTTTGTCAGGGAAAGGAAAACTGGATCCTTCCTTGACTTCAAAACAATGCTAATGAACGTGAGAAGTGACCTGGAGGAGTGGCCACCTCCCAGTTCCACTGTATAAAAGAAAGCAGAGCTAGGGTTTGACAGAATCGCTCCTCAAAGGGAACCATTCGTGTTCCTGTTTGATCAGTTATATTCAGTGTAAAGTACAACAACAAAAACAACTCTTAACGACTGGGGAATTCGAAATCAGTCATCATATGAATCTGGTGTCATGTTTCAAAATGTGACCTGAGAACATTCCCGTTAATGTTTCCCTTGATTCCATAGTTTTGTTTCCCAAAAAAAAACCCTGTATTTTTGAGAACATTGGATTAGAATAAAGTATGACACGAGAAGTTTTCTAACTTTCGTGTCTTTATCATTATGTAAGATTCAAATTTAGTCTGTTTTAGAAAGTTGCATATTTTAATATTCTATTACTTCTAGTTTCCTAGTGATAGTTTCTCAACTTGTTACTTAAACAGTGTGTGCATTGAAGTCCGTTCCATTTTTATTTATGGAGCTGTACTGAATAAATGTAGTACTCAGTCTTTCAATGGCCATTCATGGAACATCACTACTACAGTCATAAAGGGCACCATGGAGAATGTGGAATGAACAAAATGTAATCTCTGTCTTCGGAGAAGGTTTGTAGACTAAAGGATGACAGACAGAACATGGTGTGTGCCTGAGAAGTGTAAAATCTACATACAGTGGGAGCCCAGAGCAAATAAAGAGAACCTGAGCCTGGCTAGACAAGACATGGACATTGGAATCAGTCACGATGTTATCGACAGTGGAGATTACATATTAGAGAACAGAATGTCTCCTACTTACCCATGCTTTTGTTTTCGGGATTTTAATTACCCGTGGCCAACCGCAGTCTGAAAACATTGAGGAAGATTCTAAAAATAAGAATCCTTATGCTTTAAATGGTCATATCCTGAAATTGTGACCACCTCCAGCTCTATCCTGGCCTGGATGGTACTCACCCTGTATCCACGCTATGTGTTAACCAACTGTCCATCATTTGGTAGCCACTTTGTTTCATCTCCCTTGGCATTTTATTCTTTGTATCCAAGTCACCCTATTTCACTAATGGTACAAAAGCACAGGAGAACCATGCTGACAATTTGGGTGTGCCAACAAGAAGCCCCAAAAAATTTCTTTAACAATGAACGTACCTGATATTCAGCTTAATATGGAAAGGGAGTGGGAAAATCTTATGCTGAGGTTGCTAAGAGCTACAGTCAAGATGAGTCTTCTGTCCATGGAACTGGGAAGAAAAAAAAAAAACGAAATCTGAGCTAGTTTTATTGTCCCACATCAAACTGCGAAAGTTATGGCCACAGTGCTGAGGTGTTAAAATGGAAAAGGCATTAAATGTATTTATGCTTAGGAAAAATGTGGTGTAGATGAGGTTCAGTACTATCTGCTATTGCAGGCATCTCCCAGGGTTCTTGAAACATACTGTCTGCAGATAAAAGGTGACGCCGGCAATGATTTAAAAGAGCTAGCACGGTGATAACTCTACATCTAGCAAACTTCTCACATGTGCACGCCAGGGCCACTACACAAAAATAATGGCAACCGCCCCTTAGCTTCAGGCTCGTTCTTTCTTTCCTTGTTAGAGAATGCAGTCACAAAGGAAGTTTCCAAGAGTAAGTTTAGCTTTGACAACTCGGAGCAAATGTTAAAGATTAGTGTTCCGTGCCGATAGCCTATGGAAAAATTTAGTTTGATATGCTGTGTTTTTTATATTTTATTTTTCTGAAGGAAACTAATACTCTTTTCAGTATGACTGTTTGTTAATGAGCTGAGGATCACTCTCAGCTTTTTCTAGGGGTGGTCAGTTTGCATCTACCTCGAAAATGTTGAAAAGATATTTTTGGTATTTTTTTTTTCAGGCAGCATCAAAGGAGCAACGATAGTAGATGCCCTGGATACACTTTTCATCATGGGCATGAAGACTGAATTTCAAGAAGCTAAATCATGGATTAAAAAATATTTAGATTTTAATGTGGTAAGTCCAGTTGAAGTTGCTCATAGAGTCCTTAAGTTTTAGCTTATCCATACCCTGTATGGGACACATTATTTATTATAATCTGTGCCAGTAGAAAAAAATTCAACTTTTTTATGTATGTGTGTGTGCATGTTGATATGTGTGCGGGTGTATGTGTACATGTGGGAACTAGAGGATAATGTCATTGGCTGTAATTCCTCTGGGGTTATTTACCTTCTTTTCTTCCTTTAGTTTTTGACACAGGGTCTCTTACTACCTAGAAAATGCCACCTAGCCTAAGCTGGTTAGCCAGAAAACCTGAGGGTCTGCCTGTTCCCATCTCTGCAGCACTGGGATTACCCACACATGCCACCACATCTGACTTTTTGACATGAGTTCTGGGGATCAAACTCAGGTCCTCCTGCTTAAGAGGCATGCACTTTGCTGAGTGATCTCTACTCCTCCAAACGATGCAACTTTAAATAGTCAAGACACTCTCATGTTCTATGCTTCTCAGTTATTGTACATGCGTATGTCCTCTTTGTCAAATTAGGGGTAAATCAGAAGAACTAAATATTTACAGTAGCCTGCATTATCCAATCTTCCTGTTCACAGCAACCCTATGAGATGGATGCTGAAGCCCCTTCGTCTTATTCCAGAGCATATGGCTGGCTGCATGTTGGAGCCATGACTCTGTCATAGGACCTTGTCCCCAATACTCAATCTTGACATTGTACAAGGCACACAGCATTAGGAGCCACTGTCACTTAACTAAGGCTTCCAACTTTGTTGCTCTTGTATGTCTGTTCATAAAGAAAATAGGAAAAAGAAATCACCTACCGCTAGATCTGTGTGCAAAAATAACATAGTCTTCAGCTTTTGGTGTATGTGCATTTTTGGCAAATAACCTGAGACCCAGTGTGCTTTGAGGAAACAGTGAAATAGAGCGAGACAGGTCCAGTGTTTGATGACCATGGCTGGGGAGGACTGTGTCTCCTTGGATCTAACTGGACAGTCATTGTTTCACTCCATAAGGATATGGGCAAGGAATTTATTCTAAGAAAAGGAAGCATGTCAGCCCTGGCTCTTTCAAAGTCCTTAATATATGGTTGCATTATTGGTATTATTTTAAATCAGAGGTTACTTTGCAGAAATCGTTGTAAGCCTCTTGTGTAAGCTAGGAAGTGTTCAGTGGTGTCTGGGCATCCTCACAGCCAAGGTGGAAGAAGAAGCATAGTTCGTGGTGACAGGGGATGAAGGAAAAGGGTGCTCCTGCCCACCCTGCTGAACTGTCTGTCACTCCTCTGTCCCCACGAAGAGTGGACACCAGAGTTAGCCAGAGCACTCAAGATTACTAAAGCAAGTCCTTGTCTATCACTTTGACTTTAAAGCACATATAAATGATGAGTTTTGATATTTTGTTGCTCCTTCTTTGATTGGTTGCTAGCTATGGTACATTTAGAAGGTCTTATCGACAGAGCGAAGTTTATGCTTGGTCTTCCTGCTAACTGACTCTAGAATATGAGAGAGACAATATTCCAACACTACGGAACTTTGCAGATCAGGACTAAGCTCTTATTTTATTTTTAATTTTTTAGATCTATTCATTTTCATGTGTATGAATGTCTTACTTACACGTATATGTTTATGTACCACGCATGCGCCTGCTGCCCAGGGATGATAAAAAAAAAAGAGTTGTATCCCTTGGAACTAGAGTTGCCGATGGCTGTGACCCACCATACGGGTATGAGGAACTAATCCTGGGGCCTCTGTAGAAACAAGTACTCTTAACTGCTGACCAGCCCTAGGCTCTTTCATTTTAAATGTAGAGAGAAATGGGTATAAAGAGCTTGGTGGTTCAAATTTACAGAGCCATGGGAAGGGATGTTACATGGCAGTTCTAATAATACCAACAGAACTAAACATGAAAAGTTAGGCTAGAAAATTTTCTCTTAGTAAATGTATTCCCTTAGGAATACTTAGTAAAAGTAAGTCTTCATGTGTTTGCTTGCTGACTTTTATGGTGCTGGAGATCAAATCCAGGGCCTTGCATGTGCTCAGCAAGCACATTGAGCTATAGTCCGGTTGTCTTAACAATGCCTATTAGTAGGAATGAATCTGGTTATCTACCCCATGTGCTCACCTTTCAGCTACAGGTCATGGCTCTTCCACACCTAGAAACTGTAATGACACTAGACCTATGAGTAGTCCCAGGCCCCTTTTCTGATTCTTGGTTTGGTCAATCTGATACATTGTTGTCTGAAACCCCCCTAAATCCCACAGCAATTCTTTGCTCTCATGATGAGCCGTATTCTGAGCTCTGAACTTGAGGGAGAAGAGACCTGGAGGGTTGCACTGTTTTATTTTTCGAAACTCAGTACAGAGGCCTCTCAAGGTAATAGACAAAGTGCCACTGTAGTAGAAGCTGATTGGCTAGCCTCAGGCCACTAAGTAGGTGAAAAGAATATTTCTGTGGGTGGAGAAGGCAAAACAAATCTAAGTAGGAAATATAAACCAAAGTAGAAGCCAAGAAAAATATGTCACTTGGCCTCCTTGCTGATGGGGTAAAGGAGTTAAGCTATCATTAAATGTCTATTAAGATGTTGACTTTTAAACTTTAAAGTTTTATATAAAACATGCATTTTAGTACTATTGATAATCTGGCTATGCTTTTCAAAATATACTCTAAAAATTGTAGCCATGTGTCTAAGATTTATGTTTATTATGTTATCTCTTGCTCTTTCTTTTTCTGTGTGTGTGTGGGGGGGTATTGTGGTAGGTGTTGTATATGTGTGCAAAGACACACAACGTACATGAGAAGCTACAGCAGGACGTTGTGTGTCTTCCTCTACCACTTCTTACCTGTTGCCTTGAGACAGGGTCTCTCGTTGAACCGGAAGCTTGCCCTTTTGGCTAGGCCGCCTGACCGCAAACTCCTGTGATCCTGCCCCCACCCTAACCCACCCACCTCCACACACCAAGTACTCTGGTTACAGGTTTGTGCTTCCATGCTCTGCTTTTTAAGTGGGTGCTTGGGATTTGAACTCAGGTCCTCACTCTTGCAGAGCAAGTGCCCTGACCCAGCGAGTCATCTCCCTAGCCTTATTATATATACTATTCATAGCATGAGAAGACTTGACACATTTACTGTGCCTCTTTCTATCAACATTACCATATTTCCCCGTTATAAAAATACATTATCAGGAGGAAAGTATAGCTTAGTTGGTAGAGTGCTTGCATAGCATTCACAAAATCCTAGGTTATTGGTTAAAATATTAAGGGAACTCCACGTAGTTAAAAGGGAGGTTTATTTTGTGGGATAACTTACAAGTGAAGGGATAGGCTACAGGGTCTGGGAAAGACGTAGCGCAGTCTGGCGGTGTTCTCTGGAGAGCTCTGCTGGGTCCACCTCCAGCATCCAGGGTCCAGGAACCAAAAGAGCCAGCCCATCCGGATGGGGTCTTCAGGGTCCTCTCTCGGCCCTGCCTTGTAGGCGTGACAGTTACCAAAGCCTCAATGGGGGTTGAAACTTCTAGATCAAAGCTGGAATGGCTACCCACTACACTAGGTTCAATCCCAAGCACCATATAAATACTGGGCACATGCCTGCTAATTCTAGCACACGGGAGGTAGAGGCCTCAGCAATATAGAGTGTGGAAGCCAGCTTGGGCTATGAGGCCTTTTTGTTTTAACACATGTACCAATAATACAGACGTAGAGTTTCTCATATTAAAAAGAGTAATGTATAAGTTCAAGAATGGTGTGTATGTGTGTTTTTTTTTCTTCTTTTCACTGCATGATAACAGGTCTTCAGCTCAATGTTCTCTAGTTAGTTTTCTAAACCACATCTGCAAATTTATCCTCCATCTTCACACTCAACCCAGAGCTTCATGTGATTGTTTCAACGACTGCTTGATTCTCCTTGAAAAAACACACCGAGGATTTATTTTTGCATTCGTGTTAAGGGAGAACAATAAGCCTTACCTAAAATAAAATTTTAAAAAAATATATTTATTTTTAGGGACATCATGTAATAGTGTAGCCTAGAGGACACACCACTGCCTGCTGCATTTAAGTCAACACCTTTTCCTTATAAAGTATTTAAACTCAAAGTCTAAGGGTTTTCGGTTTTGCTGTTCTTACTGTTTGTTTTTCAAGGTAATGCATATAAATGTGTCCAATGTTACTGCAAGGGGAGAGGAACTAGAACTGAGAGAGAAACACTGTTGCTGGGGGTTTAATCCTAGAGTTGCTAAGTGTCAATAAATCCTCAAGTTGAGAGTAAATGTGTGCACATGCAGAATGCTCAGTTTATATCACTTAAAATTTACTTTAGCAAATGCTTTTCGGTGGGTTTATATTGCCATTCATGCAAGCCTAAGAAGTTGATTCGTTTGGTAACACAGAATCCAAGTGTCTGTTAGGATTGATTTTAAATAAATCATTCATTGGGTTAATATGATTTAGGGAGTAAGTGCTAGGGTTCCATTGGTGGAGCCTGTGTTCAGCTTAGGCATCCTCAGGCGGACAGGTGAGATGGAAAACGTTTAGTAGACTCTGAGGAGCTTCCTGATTTCCTGATTTCAATTCAGTGTAAGCCTAGGATAAAGAATCAAGATTTTTATTTATTCATTCATTCATATGCTAATTACTTCCCAAGCTCTTCCTAAGGATCAGTGACTTACACTTCAGGAGCTTCTCTAGCAGGAGAAATGGACACCTTAGCTGGAGCTCGGTTATCTGAGGAAGACGAGGAGGAAGGCAAGACAGGCCAGTGAGCTGTAAGAGTTTAGCACCCGGTGATTGATTGATTGATTGATTGATTGATTGGTGCTGATTGGTGTTTTGCATAGGTTATTTCAATTTCTGCAGAAGAGTAGTGCTATTTTCTTTACTTTTATAGATGAACGTAATTAATTCATCTTTCCAAGGTTCTGCAGCAAACAGGAGCCGTGGTGAACAAGGTCTTTGGAATTCTTTCACCTTGTTTTGTAGTGGCGAAGATACAAAAGAGTTGATGC